TTTTTCTAGCTCAGCAACCTGACATTAGTGGTAGGCAAGTTATTGGAGAGGATACTGAGGAACAGAATCAACAAACATTTGGATAGTCAAGGTCTGATTAGGGATAGTCAGCATGGATTTGCACGCAGGGAGTCAAGTCTGACAAATCTTTCAGAGTTTTTCGAAGACGTAACCAAGAGGATAGATGAGGGTAGAGCAATGGCTGTTGCCAACATGGAACTTTACCAAGGCCTTTGACAAGTTCCCACACAGCAGACTAGTCATGAAGGTTAGCTCGCATGGGATCCAGGAGGGGCTCACTAATGGGATTCAAAATTGGCTCAATGATAGGAAGTAGAGGGTGATGGTTGAAGGTTGTTTCTTGGACTGGAGGCCCGTGACTCGTGGTGTGTCACATGGGTCGGTGCTGGGCCCTTTGTTATTTGTTATTTACATAAATGATCTGGATGTGAATGTACAAGGCATGATTAGTAAGTTTGCAGATGATACAAAATTAGGAGGTATTGTTGATAGTGAAGAAGGTTATCAAAAATTACAGAGGGATCTTGATCAGATGGGGAAGTGGGCTGAGGATTGCAAATACAATTCAATACAGATAAGTTTGAAAAGTCAAATTAAAGTAGGACTTATACAGTAAATGGTAAAGTCCTGAGGAGTGTTGTGGAACAGAGGGACCTAGGAGTACAATACATTGTTCATTGAAAGCAGCATCACAGGTAGACAGGGTGGTGAAGGAGACATTTAGCATACTGACCTTTATTGTTTGAGGCATTGAGCATAGGAGTTAGGGCATTATGTTACAATTGTATGTCGTTGGTGAGGCCACACTTGGAGTATTGTGAGCAGTTTGGTCACCCTGTTACAGGAAAGACATAGTTAAATTGGAAAGTGTGCAAAGCAGATTTACTAGTAGACCTGGCTTATGGAGGTTGGCCAGGATAGGACTTTATTCCTTGGAATGTGGGAGAATGAGGGGTGACTTTATTGAGGTGTATAAAATCATGAGGGGCATAGATAGGGTGAATGCTTATTGTCTTTTTCCCAGGGATAGAGAATTGAAAATTAGAGGGAATAGGTTTAAGGTGAGAGGGGAAAGGTTTAACAAGGGCCTAAGGGGCAACTTCTTCTCACAGAGAATGGTGCGCATATGGAATGGGCTGCCAGAGAAAGTGGTTGAGGCAGGTACAATAGCACATTGAAAAAACATTTGGGTAGGTACATAGATGGGAAGGGTTTAGAGGGATACATACCAAATGCAGGCAGTTGGAACTAGCTGTGTGGGCACCATGGTCAGCATAGACCAGTTTGGGCCAAAAGGACAGTTTCCATACTGTATTACTCTATGACTCCTCTATGACTCTAACCAAATTTTGCAAGTTCCTCCATATCCAGGTACCAAGTGATTGAAGGAATATTCAACAGGACACCAATGTAAAGACTAAGGTGCAAATAATTCCCAGTGAGAATCAGCATATCATTCAAAAGTGAGAACTGTTATTGCTTTTCAGGGCTCGGAGATCTGCTGTTATCTACAACCACAATCGCCTGCCTTGGTCCATGCTTGCACATCTACTGCAGCTTCTCTATGACATCCATCATCCTCCCATACCAAGGAGTTGCCCTCTTTCTGTTCCATCCTCCCGACTCTCAAGAAGAGGTCTTTGTGCCTTTTCAACTCCAATCAAATTGTCAAAGCATATACATTTTCCATTTTGAATGTCACTTTTTAGAATTCTGTTTGTTACATAAGGTAGTTATTCCAAATTAGTTTATGTTGAAGTTGCATAAAATTCCCACCGATTCAGATGATTTCATGCAGTCTTTGGATGGAGAATCAAGCAACAGATTTTCTAATTATCTAGAACAAATCAACTTACATTGTGTCTTTTGCTATAATGCAATTGACAATGTAATGTTGGACAAGTACCTCTTCTTAATAATTAGCAATGGCCTATCCTTAATCATCAATAATCAGTAATGCCCTCAGACTTAGTATAGGGAAATGCTGGGGTGCATGATCACTCTTGGTAATGATATTTTGATTTGGTTTTGATAGGTGAGCATTGTAAGTTTTCATTTACCTGTTGAAATGCTTTCGTTATAGTTGTAAAGGGGAGGCTTGATGATAAAATTACACCTGAATAACCTGGAGCCCAATATGACATGGCAATCAGTAGTAAGCACCATCAAAGTAACAATGGTGGACAGAATCTATTTGAGCCTGGAGAAAACACCTTCTGAAGGCAGATTTGTTTACCATTTTGAATATATTATTATTTTAAAAAGGTAAAACCAGTCAGTCAGCAGCTGAAAGGTCTAAATTGTCAAGCAGTCAGTAACACATGGGAGTTGAAGGAATGGTAAAGCAGCACTCTAGAAGAAAACTTTGACTTCAGAGCTGGTGAAAGGTGCAATAAAAACAGCAAAGAGAGTAAAAATTAGCAACACTGGCAAAGAGGCAGAATTTTTTAAGGGCAAAAAAAACTTGTGAGCGCAATTGCGCGCTCCCAAGGTAAAGCTAGAGAGCCCTGAGGGCAAGTGGGAAAAACATTACAATAACTTTGCAAAACACCAGGCTGTACATACCTTTTTAAATAAGCTATGCTGTAATCTTAAGTAGGCTCCAATAAACACAGCAAGGATATCTTGGGGTTGCAGTATCAGAAAATGGACACAGTTTAGTCAAAGGAACAAAAAGGAAAATTTAAAATTGTTGAAGGAAGAGTGACAGAAAGAAGAACTTCGAAAAAACATGAGTTGAAATACAATTTTTGCCAAATGATTTACTGTGGCTGCAGCCATGAAAATTTATTTCAAAATTGTGCAATCGTAGGCATTATGGTTTCAACTATGAAAAGCACGAAAATAACCATTTTGCTCTTGAAGAAGTGAGAAACCATCATCTTGGCTTCAGAAGATGGGAAAACACTCCAGAATGTGGAAACCACCATTCTGATCACTAATAAAAGATACAAAACCACAAAAAGCAGCACAGGGATATAATATGATATGCAGTACAATTTAAATCTTAAAGGTAACACAATACAGTTTTGCTAGTTAATAGAACATTAAGGTTTATTGAGTGAATTTTATACAATATTATCATAGAATTTGAAAGGTTGATGAAAAAAGATAGTCCCACAGTATTGTTATATTACAGAAGTATTCAGACTTCAAGATATCAGAATTAAAATAATTCTAAATAATCGATTTAGCACAAGAATGGAAGCTGAAAGGCAACATATTACGACCAGCATTGTACTACTACACAGTGAAGAACAACTTTAAAGTAGTAAGAACACATCAGGAAGAAATGAAAGGAGGGATAATGCATTCAAAGGATTCAATATAGGAGATGGGCCAAAATGAGATCGGATTGGACTTCTTGGAGGAACAATTACTGGGAGCTACAGAATGCCATCTGAAAATCAACAAGTCAATATATTGATGTAGTAAGTAGCTCCTATAGTGGAAGGTATTATAACTGACCAAAATATCAAAGAAGGGATGGATACTGCTGACAAAGTTTGAAAAAATGTTGATAATTACTTCAATCTGAGAACAGAGTTCTTGCAAAGGAATGTTGAACAGAAGAGTTCAGCATTCAAGGGAATCCAGATCATTTAATTAGTGATCTCTATAACTTAGTAGAAACCCAAGACTATGGAGCTACAAAATAACAATTCATAGGAGAATGATTTTTGTTGGAATTATTGATGAGTCTTGATAGTATAATACTTGTACAATAGATGTAAAAATAATATATACAGGGTAAACAAAACTCCAAAAATCAAACATCCAGGCCATAAGATGGATAGTTATTTTTTTCTTCAGATTGTCTTTGGTCTTGCAATAATGAGATGCTGTTGTCTGTAAAGTGATGGTGGTGAGACAGACAGAAATAAACAGAGAGATAGTAAGACAGACAGATAGCGTAAAAGAGAGGGATGGAGAAAGAGGAAGATAGAGATAGAGGAAGAGGAGCTTTCCATCTTCAAGTACTGGCTATTTTCCACTCCCTTCTGCTCTCGACATTTACACTTTACTTTGCAGTTCATCCAATCAGAGGACTGGTGCCAGGTAGAATTTCCTTAACTCGGAAGACTGTTGGTGCCATTCAGTCTTGAATTCTCCATCTTACCATTTCCATAAAGCACCATTGTATTTCATAGCTCAACTATATGCAACATTTAATTTTCAAGTTGTAGCAACTTTCCTGGTATTCTGGTTATAACAATCCTACATCCCTTTCAATTTATAGTCCTCAAAAATGAAAATATACAGTCTCTTACATTATCAAAGGTATGGGACATCTATCTATAACAGGCCATACCTGATTGGCAAGAGTTAACCTGAACAGAAACAAACAGAATAATATTGAAGAAATTAATTAAAACTACTTGCAAAAGCATCATGGAGATAAAAGGCACATAATATATTCTTCTGTACTTGACAACACCTACATTTTGTTTGGTCTTAAATTGTTCAAGCACATCACTATGTCTAAAGCTTTCTTTCTCCTTAGTACAGAATATTGGCACATATTGGCAAACGTTGAAAAAAAAACAAGATGAGGGGCAGTATGCAGCAGCTTGTAGGAGGGAATTAGATATTAAAATGACTAAATACACAAAGTGTTTGCACCTCCAGACGTAATTAATTATTAATAGCATACTCTCAATCTTTTGCTTTGGCCGGCTTGCCCACTGTTCGCAGAAGCACAGACATATGTTATAAAATTAACAAGCAAGGTCCTCAGAAACCAGATTATGAGGACTGAATGCAAATAAGCTGCCTTACAAAAAAGATGAGGGCCATTATTAAAATAATAAATTTTAATGATGTATCGAAATAAGGAACAGCACACAGAATAATAGAACGACTGCTATAGAGAAGGATAGATTTCAGCTGGTCACTGAAAGCAATAAAAAAGATGTTTTCAATTGACTGTTCCTGAAACCTCCATTTTTGTGCTATGGAAAAGATTTTGAATATCTTACTTTCCTGCCGTTCTCCCATGCTAGTTCAGTGCCCTGCCACATTCGCCCAATCCACGAAATTCCAGAGTGTACAAGGTCCTGTTGGAAGAGTTCATGTTTAGATCAACAGTTTCAATTTAGTGCAACCAGTCATGGATATTTCTAAGCTGTGGTCAGCCTGTCCATCAAAACAAAACAAAATACTCATTATTATACAGCCCCACAAAGCTTTACAAGGTGCTTCACAGGTGCACTATCAAACAAAAATGTGAAGATGAGCCACATAAATGCATATTAGAAGAGATGTCCCAAAAACTACTTAGGAGGATGGGTGTAATGGTGCTCTGAAAGCAGGAAAGAGTTATGGAGAGACAAGAACAAGAAGATTCCAGGCCAAATTTGAGTACTCCAGAACAATCTTGATGTTTCAACAGTCAGGTTAAGAAATAATAAAACCTGGTTAAATAGAACCGTATTCTAAATTTTTTCACTTGATCTCAGCTAACCTCCAAGCTAATGCCTTAATAGGTAGAATTTTCTTGCTGTATGTGCAACAGAAAGTGTATGAATGCTTTGTATCAGTTTAACATTTTACCCTATCAATGTTTGAGGTGATCCAAGGAACATAGCCTACTTTACCAAAGCTATTTCTTAAAGTGTATGCACTCCATGGGCAAAATCATTAACTCTTCTGGAAGCCAGAATCGAGGCAAGAAGGGAATTTAATTGTGTGAAGAACCAAAAATCTGGTTTTCGATGGCGGGTAGAAAGTTTAAAATTAAGCTCTTGGAACAAAGAAACTAGTTTGAGCATCCCACAGATGGGTTAGGGTTAGCTGTTTTTGGCTGATTTTGCATTCCTTAAGTGTAATTAAACGGGCAGCTCACTGGAATTAATTTCCTCACCTCAATTAATTTATCCACATGCGAGAAATACGTGCCTTCCAAATCCTAATAGCATGCAAGATGTGATGAAAGTAAACCACTGCAGATACTGGAGATCTGAAATAAAAACAGAACATGATGGAGAAACTCTAGCAGTATTGGCGGAGAAAAAAAAAGCCATTGTTTCGAGTCCAATATGACTCTTCACCAGAACTGTAAACTTTAACTCTGTTTCTGTCTCCACAGATGTTGCTAGACTTGCTGAGTTTCTCCTGCAGTCTCTGCACATAACATGCTTGCACCTCGGATGTTGGAGGGAGTAGCTACTGCTTTATTCATTTTTGTTTTGTTCGGGGAGTAAAAGATTACTGAAGGAACCAAGCGGAGGCTTGGTGACCGTTTTGCAGAAACCAAGTGGAGGCTTGGGGACCGTTTTGCAGAACACCTACGCTCGGTTCACACTAAACAACTGCACCTCCCAGTCGCGAACCATTTCAACTCCCCCTCCCATTCCTCAGACGACATGTCCATCCTGGACCTCCTGCAGTGCCACAACGATGCCACCCGAAGGTTGCAGGAACAGCAACTCATATTCCGCTTGGGAACCCTGCAGCCCAATGGTATCAATGTGGATTTCACAAGCTTCAAAATCTCCCCTCCCCCTACCGCATCCCAAAACCAGCCCAGCTCGTCCCTGCCTCCCTAACCTATCCTTCCTCCCACCTATCCCCTCCTCCCACCTCAAGCCCCACCCCCATCTCCTACCTACTAACCTCATCCCGCCCCCTTGATCTATCCGTCCTCCCTGGACTGACCTATCTCCTCCCTACCTCCCTACCTCCCCACCTACACTCACCTTTACTGGCTCCACCCCCTCCTCTTTGACCTGTCTGTCTCCTCTCCACCTATCTTCTCCTCTATCCATCTTGTATCCACCTCCCCCTCTCTCCCTCTTTATTTCAGAAGCCCCTTCCCCTCCCCCATTTCTGAAGAAGGGTCTAGGCCCGAAACGTCAGCCTTTCTGCTCCTATGATGCTGCTTGGCCTGTTGTGTTCCCCAGCTCTACACCGTGTTATCACTGAAGGAGGGAAGCTGGACCATAATGAACACAGGTCATGGAGGCTGAGTGAGGGTGGAAGTGTGTCTTGAGAAGGGAGACACACTGACCAAGGAAAGGAGGCAGCCTGTTGAGAGAAGAGTAGAAGGTCAAAAACATTTTACTGTGAGTGTCCGCTCAAGAGCCCAAGGGATATGCTCCTGTCTTGCAGGGAATTAATGCTTGTCCAGTGCTGGTTGAATATGGCACCAGGATCTTCAATCCTGGAAGGAAATATGGGGGACATTGAATTCATGTCTGCATGTCACAATGTTCACTCATGCATTCATCTGTAATGAACTCACAACCATTCAAGTAAAGACAACCTCCCCCAGTTGAAGTGACTCACTTCCACACTTGCCACTAAACTGCTATTCCAGGAAGATTCCAGCCCATATCACAGTCCTATCGGTGAAACAGCCTCATTTAGCTTAGACATGGCAATAAAGTTTTTATATGTGTCAGCTATCTGGCTGAACTTAAATAGTAGATTGAGAGGTAACTACAAGGAGTTTGAAACTGTAATTCAATAAAAAAAATGACAAATTGACAAAACCCAAAATGGTTTTGTAGCAGCTTTATATCAAAGTACAGACAGCTGTAGGCAATATATCTAGTACATTCTACTCATTCATATAAGGTGGTTGGATAATGAGGGATCTGATAGATGATGCAATGTACTATTCTACTGCTAAGATGTAGCTGCATTAAGTGACATTTCCCTTTAAGGTCACAATACCTAAATGTTCTAAAAATATACTGTCTTAGGTCAATTAAGGGTGGCTATTGATGAAGTAAGTTTAGTAAATTTGCACATGAATATCCAGCGTCAGATCTCGGTGATGATCTGCATTTGAAAAGATCACTGGGAACGCAGATCTGGCTAAGCAGTCATGCCAAAGTGGTCAATATGAGATGGCTAGTTTCCAGGTAACAATGAAAGCTCCAAACTGGAAATCTCCACAAGCAGGTCGAACCAAGTAGTTAAGCACTCCAGCTGGACTGTTATGGTTGTTAGAAAATGCCAGAACATGTCAATTATAGGTTGGACCAGAAAGCTGTTGAGCCCATGGATAGCATAGGATACTGGGCACTGAATGGAGCAAGACAGGTTACTGGAGTTTCTGCAGAGGCACTGAAGAAAGCCAGCGAAGCCACCACTTTGTTCTGGTTCATATGAATTACATACACTGACAAAAATGTTAACGACCTGAAATTTTAACTTTTTTGCCTTCTCCACAGCTGCTGTCTGACCTGGTGAGTATTTTGACCATTTTCCACTTAATTTTCAGATTTCCAGCATTAGCATTATTTTGTTTTTATGTCCGAATGCTTTGCACACAGTTGGGAGGACCAAAGCTACTTGCAAGATAACATTGTCTAGTTACTACTATAAATTAGAAATAATTATTTTATTCTGAATTGTTTCACGTTGTTGCTTTGAATAGTACTGGTAAGTTTTTCCTGGATGAAAATGTTCTTCCAGCAACTTGATTGGTTGCTTGTTACTGCTTCACAGTTTGTGGTTGGTAACGGTGGGGTTAGGGCTTAAATAAGTATGTGGATGAATGTCTGAGATAAACTGTGATCTCTATGTATGACCTGAATAGTACCAAATTGAATTAGAAGGTTGACCCCAATTCTGAGCATGTTGCTCTGTAGTTTTGCCATAATGAATAGTAAAACAGTCAACATAGCTTAACAGTTATATGTCAGAGATGAGCTTGTATCAAGATTCAAAGAACCCAAAGCAGAACATGATGAAACAGTAACTTTCAAATTAAAGTTGAATCTTTTCTTGTTTAATGGGATTCCTTACTTTGAATCATGCCAACAGGGAGGAAGTATCAATAGGGTTAGATACAGATGTATGGCAGGGCGCTCAATTAAATAATACATCACATGGACTACTGGTCCAAAGAAGCTGTTTCCATGCTGTAAATCTGAAGTTATTCTGTCCACCTTAAATTTCTACCTGATTTGTTGATCTTGCAGTTAGTCACAATTGATCAGTGATTTAGTGGTCCTCGTGTTCGCTGACCACTTATTTTTATTTTTCCATGCTTGACAGTTATAACTATGACACATTCTGGCTGATAAAGAAATCATTAAATTATGTAACTTTCTACCTCAAATCGTTACACTTCCTAGCTTGTCAAATTGCTAATAATCGAGGAATATTGGTAATATCACAAAACAAACAATCCAGAGAAACAGGCTAAAGCTCTGAGTACTTGGGTTCAAATTCTACAATGACAACTGGTAGAATTAGAACTCAGTTAAAAAGTATGTAATTATAAATCTTGTGACTGTAATCACGACCATCAAACTGTTATCAGTTGTTGTGCAAACCCATCTGGTTCACCAATATCCTTTATGGAAGGAAATCTGCTGTTCTTACCTGGTCTGGTCTACATGTGACACCAGACACTCAGGAATGTATTTGACTCTTATCTGCCTTCAAAAATGGCTGAGTAAGCCACTCTGTTCAAGGGCAATTAGGGATAAATCAAAGAAAGCCGGGTGTTTTCTAAGGTTTATGAATCCCATAACTTTTCCCACTTTTCACAAATGCAAAATCCTGTCTGTTTCATTTTTTTCTGAATCATTATTCTGCTAACATCCAGAGCATCGGCTGTTCAAACCTCATATGTCCATATTAAGAGCAACCAATATCAATGAGATTCTTACAGGGAGGTTGCTTTCAGTACAGCTTACCATTCTCTCCTATTCTCAGCTCTTATAATTACTCATTCAGCCTTTTTTCTGTCCTGGCCTGCTATTCATAATGTCTTTTTTAAATATTCGTATCTCTCTCTCACTGGACTCTATCTTCACCTATCCTTTCACCTGTTCCCTTGTCTCCATGCCCTTAACTTTGTCTACACTATAAATACCACACCTTTTTTTCCACAGCTGCGAACAGTTCTGATGAAGAGTCACCAAATGCTTTCTCTGTTTTCTTCCCACGGATGCTGCTAGACCTGCTAAGTTTCGCCAGCAATTTCTGTTCTTGTTTCAGATCTCAAGCATTCACAGTTGTTCGTTTTATTTCAATAAGATTTTTCAATGATTTTCAGGTTCACTGTAACAGTGTTCAGGAATGTGAATTCTATCCCTGTACCCAAGCAGAACTTTATTTTCCAGGTGCATAACAGCAACTGGCAGAGGAATGATTCGTTCTCAGTATTGTACTCCAAGATAATCGTCAGTCTTCAGTCACAATTTAGAGAAGCTCTCAGGAGCCAGCCTTGCAAACTATTCACATCCAGATTGATCCCACAGGCTTTCAATCTATTCTTCTGTCCATTGACATGGTTCTTTATTATGGTCCATTTGACCAAGTGCACACTCTGGATGAAGCTCTCTCTAGATGGTCAAGATGTCTAAATGTGTTTGTAGGAGAGCATTAGGCTTGTTAGCCATTGGAATTACAGAGTCACAGATGAGAGAGCACACAGAGGCAGTGACAGTTCCTTAAGACACAAGTTCAAATAGAACCACACAGCTGGACAATTGAAATTTAGGTGTTTAAATAAATCTGGTAACAATAAATTGTACCTGCACAATAAGGTGTGAAACCTGTCATCTCATCTAGTTTGGTGTCTGTGTGACTATACTCACACCCAATATGGTTGACTTGTACCAACCTTTGAAATGGCTTAATCAGTTTGAAACAAATAGGCAATAAATATTGGTCTTGCCAGTATCACCCACGCCCTGTAGATTACTTTGAATTAATGTTCTGTTTAATGGTGTCCTTTATAGGTTATTTCACTTTTGCTGTTTCATTAGTTCATTCATGGAGTTGGGGTTCTGGTTTAATGCTTCAAGTTTTGTGTTCAAGTCATTTTGCATTAGTCAGATAGATTAATCAGCCCCATGTTGGAGCCATTGTGGTGTGGCCTCTCCTGCTCCCCAACCCATCCTCTAGTTTAAAGCTTCTAACTAGGGGCCTCTACTACACCCTGACAATTTCTCTTGTCAAACCTCTCACTCTCAACTCTCAAACTCATTGCTT